TAAGGCTGGCTGACAGAGGCTGAGAAAACTCCCAGGTCTCTAAGCTATTACCTCTTTTTTTCTAACCCTGATGACTGGAACAAAAACTCCATTTATAGGGACAGGAGAGACTGTACAGGAGATAGAGTGACCTGGGTTCTATCCCAGGCACTCTTGAGCACTCCCAGGAATGAACCCTGAGCTTAGAGTCAGGAGTAAACCCTGAGCACAGCTGCTGTGGCCTAAAAGCAAAAGAAACAGACGAAAATAGATATCCTTAAGCTAACTGACAATAGCCTGGCCTGTTGCTGCTCTCTGTGATTGAGCAGTCATTGATGGACAGCTTGGGCAACACAAAACTAATCCGAATAAAACTAAGATGAATCATGAACAATGTAAAAGCTCATCTAAAATTCAATTGCATAAGTACTATAGAGTTTGTTGGATTAAGAACTCCTTGAAAACACAGTTATAAAGCCCAGAAGATGCATAGAGTCTTAGAATGACTTCCTAGCAAGTGTATGGACAGGAGCTCAGTTCCCACACGGCCTGAGCACAATCCCGGCAGCAATGCTGTCTGAGCCTGCCAGATCCACTGTCTGTGATCCCTGGCACTGCCAGCCGTTTACAGACAGAGTACAGCCAGGTGTGTATAAGCACCACAAAAAGGGGTTGAAACCCTCAGCAAGCACTACAAGCTTCCACAGGCAGGAAGAACATGTGTGTGAGCACCACGGGATTCCCAATGAGCACCACAACTACAATTTATGTGAAGGAGGAGGAAACCTTGGGAGAATAGTGGAGGAATCTTGGCATTCTGATGGTGGGCATAATTTTTTTAAAATTTTTATTAGTGAGACACCATGAGGTACAGTTGTAGACTTACAAATTTTTGTGCTTGGATTGTTTCAATTATACAATGATCAAATACCCATCCCTCCACCAGTGCCCATTTCCCATTATCACAGATCCCAGTATCCCTCCCACCCCCCATTTCCCCCATCCCACCCTGCCTCTGTGGCAGGGCATTCCCCTCTGTTCTCTCTCTCCTTTTGGGTGTTGTAGTTTGCAAAAGAGGCATTGAGTGGCCTTTCAGCATGCTTCTCCCATCCTGGGAGGATCCTCCCAACTGGTGGGCACAATTTAACAACAGTGCAAGTAAGGGAAAAAACCTGAAATATTGGTACTACCATAAAAATAACAGTACATAAAAATTTTTCAAAAATAAAAACTATATTTATTGAAATTATTTTGCTCGAGCGGGCCCAGTAACGTCTCCATTGGAGACTTTGTTGTTACTGTGTTTGGCATATCGAATACATCACAGGGAGCTTGCCAGGTTCTGGCATGCGGGTGAGATACTCTCGGTAGCTTGCCGGGCTCTCGGAGAGGGGCGGAGGAATCAAACTCGGGTCGGCCATGTTGGCTGCGTGCAAGGCAAATGCCCTAAATAGCCAGGGAAGATCAATCTTTCTTGACTTTGCCTTATGTTAGTATGACCAGACCCCACAATGACAAGAAGCAGCAGAAGAGCTCCCGATGCCAATGTGGATAAATGATAAGAGATATCACAAGTATAACATCAATGATATAAATAGATAATATAACAGAAATGGAAAATAGAGAGAAATAATACTAACACAAACTGTCACCAATTATTTCAAAATACTTAATTGCTTTGAATATTGAAAGATGTCATATTTATGTTTTTTAGAAAGTTTATTTAACTGGACCAGTGTGTAATCACCAGGCCTGCGTTCGGTGGTCTGAGGCCACTCTCCCACCGAGGACAGCTGATGCCATGGACAAATGAAGGAGAAAACAAGGGCCAGACTGGTTGGTGGTCAGTTGCCTTTTATTTCTTTCTCCCTATGCGCCTGTTCCAATATCAATAAACTCCCCATTCTAGTCTCACACTGCCCCTCATTCCTGTCTCCTCCTGTACCCCATGCTAGTCTCTCCCTGCTCCCGCTCGCCCTGGTCTCTCTCTAGCCTCTCCCCAACTCCCAGCGTTAGGGGTACCCATCAAGTAGCACAATCAACATATCAAAAGTCCTTCCTGATCACCCATCAGGCTCAAGATCAGAAATACCACCTAGGGATGTTTCTCCTCTCCTTAGTCCAATAACTTAACTAACATCTTAATTCTATTTCTTAATATTAGGCCAGATTAATCTTTCCTAACCCTAGAAGGATCCTACCTAGTTGTATTGTTTTGATCATGACAGAATTTGTCCATGACCATGCTCTTAAGTATTATGGCACTTTGGCCTGGCCCATTTCAATGCCAGGGTAGCTCACTGCTTGCCCTGGGTCCATCCAGTTTCTCTTCAGGACCCTGCTTTTGGGGTGCTAGGAAGTAAAGGCAACTGAAGCTTAAGACAAGAGAACAGATGCCCAGGAGTGAATATCATTCAGAGTCAATTAACTCCCAAGTTACAAAAGAAAATTATTAACTGTCTTCCTGTGTCTATACAAAAAGGACATTGCTCTGAATTAACTATACAAAGGACTTAAGGAGAAGAGAAAAACAATATTTACAAATTAACAGAGTCTGATTAGGAAATAAAGGTAATTGACCAGTTGGGGAAGCAGGGCACAAAGAAAGAGGTTACAGATAAACACAGAGGAATGGGAGCACTGTGATGGGAGCAACCCAATAAATCTAAGCTCCCTATGGCAAGGCAGAAAGGACAAACTAATATTATCCCACCAGACCAATAGGCCGGACCATAAGCTTTGAACACAGAAGGCCAGACTTGGATCCGTGTGTTGAAGACAGAGTGATCCTCCCAATATACATTTCCTGTTTATGTATAATGGGAAAAACATTGTCTGGAACCTAAGCATGCTGGAAGAAGCAAAGGCCTTTGAGACACAGGACCCAATCCTGAAAAACCATTGAGATGCAGAATTCCAGGCCCAGACTTGGCCACATGGCCGGACACCCTGCAATGAGAGGCTCACCCTCTGGAACAAAGGCTAAGACTATCAAAAGAAGAACCTCAACATCTCCAAGCTCACTGGTTTGGCAGTACCCTAGCAATAGACTTCTGGGGGCGGTTTGGTAAAACTGTATTTAAAGTAACCTGGCTGAAGGAAAGGCGCACATTTGCTCCATCTCTTTCTTACCCTACTGACTATTCATTATTGTTACTCTTTTTGTTTGTTTGTGTTTTGTTTAGTTTTGTGGTCAGATGCTTAGGAGTTATTCTGGCTCTTTACTCAGAAATGGTTCCTGGCAGTGCTTGAGGGACCATATGGGATGCCACGGAAGTAACCCTGTCACCCTGCCCTGTGCAAAGTGAGCACCTTACCTGCTGTACTTTTCCCCGGGGCCCTTAGAAGTTTACATACTTAACAGGTTTTGAGTTCCTGCTACATGCTTGGGAATGTGCTGCATGCTAATAGATGGTTCCTCGTCTTCAAAAGTTTTATTTCATGGTGCTGAGATTGGAGAGGTTCTCCCTGTGCAGAGGATGGGGTTAGAGGATCACCAAACTAAAAGCTTCATTAAACATCATTTGCTTTATGTTTTCCAGGCGCTGATGATATGATGGAAGGTAGTGAAATAAGGGCTTATGTGCTTGTGTTCATTGTCTTAATTTTTTCCCCTCCATTTTAACTTGTAGTTCAGTAAAAGTCAACAACTATACAAAGATCTTGAGGATCATCCATAGTTTGTAATTGTCAGGAATTTCCTGAGACTCTGATGTTGGCAATGATGCATATCTAGAAAACCATTAGCCATAAAGAATACACTGCAGAGAACAATGAAGTCTAAGGAGGCTGTGTCCTGATCGGGTTACAGACTGTATCCGTTCATTTAACCCCCTTTTTTGGGGGGGGGGCGGGGGGAGTGAAGTGGTATAGGGGCCAGACTCCGTTCAGTGCTCTAGGGCTACTCCCAATTCAGTGGGGTCATTCCGTGATGCTGGTGATAGCCACGTGGTGAGAGTTTAGCTGAGGACCAGTCTCCCATACAAAGCAAAGAAGCCCACCAGTATCTCTCTCGGGACCCAGGATACTGTACTTTTATTTTTGTCTGGGGCCACACCCATCGGTGCTTAGGGCTTACTCCTGGCTCTACACACAGAGATCACTCTTTTTTTTTTATGTAGGAGTACTGCTATTTATTCAGTCACTGATCAGTTGATTGAATTGTGCATGAACTCCACCTTACTCTTTTTTTTCATTTTTTTATAATTTTATTTATTGGATCACCGTGAGAGCAATTACAAAGCTTTCAGGTCTAAGTCTTGGTCATACAATGAAACACCCGTATCTTCACCAGTGCCCATTCTCCACCCCCAACAACCCCAGTATACCCCCATCCCACACCCTCCCCCCAGAGATCATCACTCTTGGCAGGGCTTGACGGATAAAATGTGTTGTCTCCGGGGATCGAACCCAGGTTAGCAAGGCAACCGTCTTACTCGCAGTACCATGACTCTGGCCCTCCAATGAGGGGAATGGGAGGAAAACAACATAGATGTGTGACCCTGAAGGGTGCGAGGCAGGTGCACCCCAAGCGCAGCGCTCAGGGAGGATGCCAGCGGCCCACTTATGCCGGGAGCCCTGGACAGGTAGTCCCATTTCGTTACAGAGACACATGGGTTCCTTTACACGCACCATTCGAAAGACTATAAATTCTTCTCGTACTGTGCAACGATCTAATAAAACACTGGGGCGTTACGTAGGCAGTAAATCTGTGGCGCCCTCTCCAAATAATAACGTTTAAAACCTCGTCCAAGTAAGGATAACTGGAAAGCTCGGCGCTAGGGTTAACACATCCACCTTCCGACTTGAGGGGGAGGGGGGGACCCGCACAAGGCCGAAAAGGGCGGGAAACGGAGCATTAAAGAAAGAAAGAGCGGGCTGGGGAAGGGGAGGAAGCGGCTCCAGAAGCCAATGAATGAGAACGAGGCCGCCGCACGTACTTCAGTCGCCCAACCACGCAGGCGCAGGCCGAGCGATCTCGCGGGAAAGGACCGTTGCCGGGCCCGCGTAGCGGGGGGAGGGTCGGCGGCGGGAGTGAAGTCTCGCGAGAAGAGGCGGTTGCCTTAGCGGAGCCCTCCGGCTGTGTGTGTCTCAGGATCCGCCGCCGGAGCCGCGGACGGTTTGCCGAGCCCGTTAGTGCCCTTGCCGAGAGTCACGCCGGCGTCATGTCCCGCTACCTGCGTCCCCCCAACACGTCCCTGTTCGTCAGAAATGTGGCCGACGACACCAGGTGTGCACGGGGGGCGTGGGATTCTCCCGGCCTAGGCCGGAGGCCTCGGGCGCCCGGAGAGGACCCGGCTGGCGGCGGCGGCGCGCCGACGCGCCGCTCGGGCCCGAGGGATGGGAAGGGGCGAAGATGGCGGGACCCACGCCGGCCCCGGGGCCTGCGACTAGGCCGCGCCGCCGACCCCGCCGCCCGTGGGGGAGCGAGGGCGGCGCCCCGGGCCCGCGAGGGCCGCGACGGAACGCGCGAGCCGCGTGGCCGGGCTTTCGGGGCTTGCCCCGCGCCCCCCGCCCCGCTCTCCGGGGCCCCCTGTCTCGAAGCTCATTCTTCGCTGCGAGCCCCGCCGCCGCGGTCCCGAACCCCCTCCCCGTCGACGGGAAGTCTCTGTTCTTTGGGGTGCACGCCCCCTCGGCCGGTAAAATTGGGGGGCGGGGGTGCAAAACTGGGAAGGAAATAACGGGATCCGGGAAGGGGGCGTGTGGGGGGCAAAGCCGTAGTGAACCTTTTTGTTCTTGTGTTTGATCCGCGGTGTTTCGGGTTGGGGGTGGTCTTGGTTTATTTATTGATTTGTTTGTTTTTAAGACGGAGATGTTTGAAGGAAAGGAGTGTTGAGATTTGGGAAATCAAATGCTTAGAACCGTCCGGAAGAGTTCCTCCCTTTTCACCAAATTCTGGGCACCTAAGGAGGCTTTAGGGAAGAAGTTACCGTTAAGACGTGAAAAGCTGATTTGGGTTCTTCCAGACCATGCCTTTGTTCTCCCCCAATTCCTTTCATTGCTTCGCGTTCCCTCTGATTTTTTTTTTTTTTTGGAGCGATCTTACCACAGAACGAGGCTTTTGTGTTTCACAGATAATTGCTGTGAGCCCTCCTCCCTCGAAAGGAAACGTTTTGGTAGCCTTGTGTGCTTTACTTTTTCTGTCCTGTCCTTAAAGTGTGCAATTGCGATTGTGGTTTTGAAGGAAAAAAGATACCTTCAAAATTTATATTCAGCTGGATTTGTATATTGCGCCTGCTCTAGATAGCCGCTTTTGTGTCCTAACTCACCTTAAAACCGGATAAAAATTAGTGGGATTTGCTCGAAGTATTCAGGTTTGACACACTGTTAGAAGCCATTAGCAATACTTAAATACAATCTCACGTTCAGATACCTTTTAAGGAAAATGATGTGCGTTGAAACAAATGGTGATCGAATTTCCTTAAAAGTTTTATTTTCTTTTATGCCCAAGAGTAATGCATCTTACTGCACACTGCATTTTTTCAAATTTTTCATCTTAGTCTTCCTTTTTTAAAAATATTATCTGTTTTGTTTGTGTGTGTTTTTAAAATTGGCTCTTAATGGTGAGATTTATTTAGAAAGCTGGTTTTTGAGGGTATGGGGACTAACACAATCCCTTTGCATTATTGAGCTTTTCAGTAAAACAACTATTGTGGTGTGATAGGCCCCTTTAAGGGAATGAACATATAAATCTGGAATCTCTTTTTTTTGTGATGTTTTAGGTCTGAAGATTTACGGCGGGAATTTGGTCGTTATGGGCCTATAGTTGATGTGTATGTTCCACTTGATTTCTACACTCGTCGTCCCAGAGGATTTGCTTATGTTCAATATCCTTTCTCCAGATGACTGATTAGTGAGGGGTGTTGAAGTTTGAAATTCAAGTTTGTGTAAGAGGTAACATATAAAAAGTAGTTTTTTTTTCTTTTTGTCCTACTAAATGTCTTCAAATTTTGGAAAATTAATTCTGATTCACATTGCTCTGTTAAAGTTAATCCAAAAATAGTAAAATTTATAAATTCCCATTCTTGCTGCTGAACCTCAAATCAGTGATTATAATTTGTGATTTGAATTTGAATGCACTGGTTGCTACCACCTTTAATGTAAGTCAAATTAAAGATGAGTGTGTTCTTGTGCTTAGCAATTAAAGTTTGGTATTATTTGTTAATTTGAATCACTTGATCAAAAACAAATTGTATAACAATGAGGTAAACTTCTTTAATATTGTCCCCTAATTTGCTGTCCTCTGTTGTTACCTCAGAGAATGTAAAGCTGTACAGTTATGGCGACCCCAAAGAGAAAGCATGAAAGAACCTTTAGAGTAGAGTTCAACACTTAAGGCAAGTAGACAAGCCAAAGACCTCTTTAAGGATCAGGCTTGAAGAGAAGGGAGAGTTTGGGAAAAGAAAAAATAAAGAAAAGCTGGAAGAAGGACAAGCCTAATGGGAGACAAAGCCTCGCTTTATCTACAAAAGGGGGAAAAGGTTGTTTTTCAAAGTTAAAGATAAAGCCATCTGTCATATTTGGCCAAGCATCTCATGACAAGTCCTTCTGACAAGCACTTAAAGAGTTAAAGGTCAAGATGAAGTTGAATGATGGCCAAGATTAAAGGAGTCATACCTGATGTATCCTACAGAATAACTATTTTCTTTTTTTTTTCCTCCTTTTAAAAAAATTTGTTTTGTAAGCAGTTATTTTCAAAATTATCCTAGTTTGGTCTAGTGACAAAACCTATAACTTGGTTTATGTGGGCCTTTGATGTTGTGATTGTGGTTTTGTGTAAATGCACTCTCTTAGCTTGGCGAGTTAAAGTATACCAGGATGTACCATTAAGTTTACATAGCATATTTATATTTTGGACCAGGTAGACATTCTGTAGAGTAGTAGACAGTGCTCTTAGGGGTGGCAAGAAGTTCTGGGGCCCACCTGAATCCTTAGAGCCAGACTCTAAACCAGGAGAGAAAGATGCATGCCCTTATACTTAGAAACGATTACAATAGTTTTTGTAGGGGCAGTCAGTTTTGTAGTATAAAACACAACACTTCTTTTATCATTAGAGTTCATTGTGGCTGCTTGGAGCACACTTATACTCTTTTTTTTTTTTTTTTTTGACTTATGAAGCCTGCTGGGCTGGCATTGCTTTAGCGCGTGTGTGATCACCTGGTCCTGAACGGATTGCAGGGGGCTTACACCTGGTATGAGCGCCTAAATATGCGCTACCATTCCCAGAATCTTTCAGATAACATTACTCACTGACAAAAGGTTTGGGCTATAGATTTTAGGCTAGGAAAAATTCTCAATATTTGTGCTGGTGAATCCCTTAACTTGATGGTATCATGAGGAAAGACCAAAAGCTGGTAGTCCTACAGGGCCAGTAACCAAGAACATTTGTGGGGGAAAGATAGTAAAACCTTGTTAAAAAGAGGGCGTAAGACCTGTATCGTTTATTTTTTTGTTTGGGTGGGGAGGGAGTGGTGTTTGTTTTGTTTGGGGGCAACACTAGGTGATGCTCACGGCTTACTCTTGTTGCTGCCTAGGGCTTACTCCTGGCGGGGTTTGGAGGACCATATGGGTTACCGGGGATTGAACCCAGGTCAGCTATGTGGAAGGCAAGTGCCTTACCCACTGTACTATCTTCTCCAATCCCTTTGTTTTTGTCTTTTAAAGAAGTGATGCATTTTCACCTGCAGTGTTGACCTGATTTTGTCTGGCAGGGTTGGAGGGAGAGCCCAATACTCTAAATGAGCAGGAGTCTGTTCAAGTGTGTGATACTTTATTCAGAAAGCACTTGTTATCCGTAGGAATTTGAAGGGAGTGTGTGTGTGTGTGTGTGTGTGTGTGTGTTTGTGTGTGTTTGTGTTTCCCCATTTATATGGAACTCGGTGCAGTCATTGGTCTTAAGTATCAAGAGGGCCAGAGCAATAGTACAGTGGTAAGGCACTTGCCTGGCACACAGACAACCTGGGTTCAATCCCCAGCCCCCTATATGGTCACTTGAGCTCTGCCAAGATTGATTCCTGAGTGTTACTGGGTGTGGCCTGCCCCCCAAAAAAGTATCAAGACTTTGCTTGCCAGGGAGGTAAGTCAGAGGGCTAGAGAACATACTTTGCATGCTGGAACCCCATGTTCTCATGTTCAATCCATGGCACTGTGTGGTTCCCTCACACATCCAAGTTGTCACCCACCACCACCCAAACCATAAAAATTAGATTCTGTCTCTTGGAATCATAAAATAGGATACCATTTGAGTGAACTTTTTTTTTTTTCTTTTTGCTTTTTGCGTCACACCTGGCAATGCACAGGGGTTACTCCTGGCTCTGCACTCAGGAGTTACTCCTGGCGGTGCTCAGGGGACCATATGGGATGCTGGGAATCGAACCCTGGTCGGCTGCATGCAAGGCAAACGCCCTACCCGCTGTGCTATCTCTCCAGCCCCGAACTTTTAATTTAGAGCCTAATTGCATTAATTTTTGAGGTGTTCAGTATAGTAAACTGCTTGTCAACTTTTCCCTTTATGTGTTGAAAGTCCTGTGGTTTCGACTTGAAAACCTCCCCTTTGTTAATCATAACCACAGAGAGGGTGGCCTTCATTCTGCTCTTTAGACCTGCTCAAGCGCTTTGTGTGCTGGGGGCCTGTCCTCAATCCCTGGCATTGCATATGGTCCCCTTGCAGGGTATGATGTTCCCCCTCTCCCCCCCCGAAAGAAAAAACCCTATATCCTTTTCAGTTTTTATAAATGACTGTAGCACTGTCCTCCCGTTGTTCATCGATTTGCTCTAGCGGGCCCAGTAATGTCTCCATCATGAGACTTGTTTATAAATGACAAGTTGGAATTTTTTTTTTTCAGGACATATTAAAAATCCACACCCAGGTCTATCTACCTTCCCGGTGCTTTCTATATCAGGTGTTACTGTGCATTCTGTGCTTGACTTCTGGTAGAGTGATCATTTTAGAAAACAACTAAATTAGGACAAAATAGCTTTGTAAGGGTTGGGCTGCATTAGAGAATTAACCTTGCCGATGTGGGGCCCTGCATTCACTTCCCTGTATCACCAAAACTTTTTTATCTATACATGACTAACGTAACTGTAGTCAGAATGGGAGAATAAGACTACTTAGCTTCTGAGATAAAAACAGGTACCAGTGATTCCTGTTTAAGACTAATCTATGGACTTAAATTCCTAAATTGAAAACAAATTTCAAACCCACTTTTCAAGAAGGTTTATGTTTAGTATAATAAATATTCCAGTCTCAGTATCTTTAGAAATGGCTCAATACTTAACAGCATGCTTTTATAGCTTGTGCATGGATTTAATGTGCTTTGGTATAGTGCTGTCTTGAGTGTTGCTCAATTGTCTTAATATCTACAAGTGGTAAGTGTACCAGTCTTCCCTGTGCTATATAAGGAAGGCGACTACATGAAGTAATGGTGCTAAGTAGTCTTTACAGACAGCAGAAATTAAGAGGTTAATTTAAGTTTCATCTCATAAGGTAAGGTATGTTTTGCTTGCTTACACAAGAACTATTGGGTATTTACTATTCATTTGGAACAAAAATACAAAAACATTTTTACGTAAAGCAACTAAGTTAAAATTCAGGAAAAGTAATTTTAATGGGACTGCTTAGTAGTTCAGTTATTACCAATCTTAAATAGTTTCTCTGTATACCTTAGAAAAATCACAAGCGCTTAATTATGGTGATGTGTTTAGTTAGCTGAATCAGCCAACAACTCGGTAGGGTCTGGTGGCCTTTTTTTAGAATAATATAAAAATTGTGAATTGACTTACCAGCTGAACTTTCATTCGTTATCAAAGTTTGCAAAACTTGCCAAGCCCCTTAACATTTAGCACATTTGAGGATGTTCGTGATGCTGAAGATGCTTTACATAACTTGGACAGAAAATGGATATGTGGACGTCAAATTGAAATACAGTTTGCACAGGGAGATAGGAAAAGTAAGTACCCTTGTTCCTAAAATGTATAATGCTTTACTTTAGATAGTGTTTTGAGATTTCTTCTTGGAAGTATTTGTGCATATGTCCAAAACCCAAAAGGACAATTTTTTAAAAGTTCAGTATCTTACATACTTCCGTACTATTTTCCAGTTGATTGAGAAATTTGGGACTAGGTATAGGTAGTATATGGGGCTTGGGTGGCCTGAAAAAGTTTGGACAATTGAGAGTAGAGGGAGTATAGATTTGGATGATTTTTGTGGGTGCATGATTATAGAAATAAAGAACTAGCCAGCCTGAAAAGCCATGTAGATTAAAAGTGAGTATTTCTTTTCGTACTTAGTGTTTTGTTTTTACATTGTTAGATGGCATGTATAGCTGCATTCAAATTAGGCAGAAATGTAAACTTTCAGATCCACGAGACCTGGTTTTGACTTGGAATTCAACCTGTTAACTTATGGCAAGGTACTAAAAAGAGTTTAAAATAGAGGAACACCTGTGTAGACAGGAGTTGGGTGATGGATTCTGACACATCCATATACACTCTGCTCCATAGTATTAAGAATTTAGGACTGTTCCATGGAACAGGTTTCTGAGACATTCAGTAAGTGTTCTATTCAGTTCTCTTTTATGATCTCTTAGAATTATGTGAGTATATTTCTGTAGATTGACAATATGTCACTAATATGATTCTTTATATATCACTAATTGTAAATTTAATGGAAACCATATTGATTTTAGATTAGTATGTTTCAGAGAGCATTCATTTATTTTTATAAAAAAAAAACTGATTTGCAAAGTTGTTCATCATACAGTTTCTAGCATTTAGTGTTCGACACCACCAGTGGGACCTTTGTTCACTGATATCCCCAGTTTCCCTCCCAATCCCAAACTGCCCCCTTAGGCACAAGACAAATTTATATTATGCCAATTTTAAGAAATGGCAAATAGAATGATCAGAAAATAAATCAGTAAGCCAACTTGTGATTAGTATATAATTTTAACCCATGTAAATAAGAAAATTAATACAATAGAATACAATAGAATGCCTATCCTCATTTACATATATACATTTTCAACTCTGGAATCTAAAGTAGATTACATTAAATTTCATTTTATACTTGGGTTGTTATGGGAGTATTCGCATTTTAATTTAAAATTTAAAATACTTTTATGTTGTGGTCTGGAGCAGTAGCACAGCAGGTAGGGCTTTTGCCTTGCACATGGCTGAGCTGGGTTTGATTCCTCTGCCCCTCTTGGAGAGCCTGGCAAGCTACCCGTGACATTTCGATACGCCAAAAACAGTAACAAGTCTCACAATGGAGAGCTTACTGGTGCCCGCTCGAGCAAATCCATGAGCAACGGGAGGACAGTGCTACAGTGCTTTATGTTGTATTTTCCGAGTATCAAAGTGGTTGGCATCTTTTCAGCTGTAGCACTGGCTTCCTGTTCATCGATTTCCTCCAGCGGGCACTAATAACGTCTCACAACAAATTGTGAGTCTTGTCATTACTGTTTTGGCATGCCGAATACGTCACAGGTAGCCAGGCTTTGCCGTGCGGGCGAGATACTCTCAGTAGCTTGCCAGGCTCTCCGAGAGCAGGAGAAGAATCGAACCGGGTCGGTCTGTGTGCAAGGCCCTACCCACTGTGCTATCACTCTAGCCCATCTTTTCAACACTATATGTAAATGGTGAGAGGTCTAAAAAAAATTAGTTCCATTAAGTTGGGGGAATTTGGAGACTACATTTTTAGTGCTGAGCAAAACCACAGCATGGTGGAGGGGAAGAGATAAGTCTTCTTGAAAACAAATACCTCCTAAATATTTACATTCTTGATACAGGTTGGAGGTAAAAGGGAAGAAAGGGCACGCAAATCCTTAAAATTTCACAACTACAAATATTGTGAACTTTATAAAATTAAAAAAATTTTTTTAAAATATTTTGCAACTTTAATGTTAAGTTTTAAAGTATTTCTCTTATATTTTCTTAGCACCGAATCAGATGAAAGCCAAGGAAGGGAGAAATGTGTACGGCTCTTCACGCTATGATGATTATGACAGATACAGGCGTTCTCGAAGCCGAAGTTATGAAAGAAGGAGATCCAGAAGTCGGTCCTTTGATTACAACTATAGAAGATCTTATAGTCCTAGAAAGTAAGTGTGATGTGTAGCACACCGATATCTCAAAAAAGATTTGTTCAACATTATTTTTTACTTTTTTGTATATTTTTAAAATGCACGCATTTGTGCTTCATTTAGATAAACTATTTTAGTGCTTTGTTTAAAATTTTGTGGTTCACTTTTTAAATTAGAAACTTTAAAAGCCTATAAATAGACATTTGTCACTGTTTGCTTTTTCTGATATACTTTTTAGCAGTAGACCGACGGGAAGACCGCGACGTAGCAGAAGCCATTCCGACAATGATAGGTAAATAACTTTGTTTTGAAAAAGACTTATATGTATTTTTGAATTTCAGAGTGAACTTTTACTCTAAAAATAACAAATTTGGTTAATATAGAATCTAATTTTTACTCTAATTGTATCTCTCCTCTGTTTTAAAAGATTCAAACACCGAAATCGATCTTTTTCAAGATCTAAATCCAATTCAAGATCACGGTCCAAGTCCCAGCCCAAGAAAGAAATGAAGGCTAAATCACGTTCTAGGTCTGCATCTCATACCAAAACTAGAGGCACCTCTAAAACAGATTCCAAAACACATTTTAAGTCTGGCTCAAGATATGAGAAGGAATCAAGGAAAAAAGAACCACCTAGATCCAAATCTCAGTCAAGATCACAGTCTAGGTCTAGGTCAAAATCTAGATCAAGGTCTTGGACTAGTCCTAAGTCCAGTGGCCACTGATAGTATAAACCATGATATTTTTAGGCATGTATCATTCATTTACTCAGTTTGGTTTACTTAAATTATCAGGAATACAATGTTGCAATGATGCTTAAAAAAAAAACAAAAAAAAAATCTTGTCAGTTTTCCCTGTACCAGGCAATGGTTATAATTAAAATGATACACTGTTGAGAAGCCACTCTTAAGAGTCCAGTTTGTTTAATGTTATGGGCAGCTACCAATTTGTGGTGTCTCTGTATATTTTTGTAAAGATTCTCCATTTTTATGCTTGAAGTATTGGTGAAAAGATGTTGGTTGACCATAATTTGCAACATTGTCTTATTAAAAATAAACTTTCATATCCATATTTGGTAGAACTGTTAACCTAGAAATGTAGCTTGCTAAATAATAAGATAGAATGATACAAAAGTGAAGTTGTAGCCAGAGTACAACACTGACGATCAGACACATTTAGGTTCAGGGTGGACCTTTTGTCTAGACGTCTTAGACCCATGATAATAGTTTATGACACAGTGCGGAATAGTTTTTGTTGTTGATGTTAACCCCACTGTCTTGGGGAGTGATGCCAACTGGGATAAGTAGCATTTTCAGGGAAATTTGAGTTTTGACTGAAACGTAGAGCCTTCACTTTTTCTTTTGTTTATTCCCCCCCCCCCCCCCGTTCTGTGTTTTATGGTATCTGAAGATTTGGAACTTAAAAAACATCAGAAAAACTCACTTTGGAAATTGAGCAGTTCAATGATGGCAGAAATAATTTTGGGAAATAATGCTCTTCTATAGTTACTTTAAACATTAAGGAGCATTTTTGACATTTAATATTTGTTTAGTTTTCTTACAGCTATTAAAGTCAGTTGGTTCAAAGTAGGTTGTATTTTTGTGTGTGCATGGTGTGGAAGAACTGCATTTTGATGCTTAAAGCACTTGGTGTGTGCGTTTGTATCAAAATTTGCCTACCTCTTTATGAAAAAGGCTTGTTCTTGACACCTTTTATTTCATCTGAGGCAAGTTGAAAGACCACTCCCATTCTAGATGATCCTGTGGTGCCATGAAATTTTAAATAATTTTGAACGCAGTTTTTGATCAATACATTATGGCAGTCCCTAAATAGAAATGAGAAGATAATACCCTTAACCATTTATAATTTTCCAGCATTTCTCTGAGAGATTGTTTTAGGGACAGTAGAAGTGACTTGGTATGTCCAGTCTCATTTCAGAATAAAAGCTAGCATCTTTAATTTTTTTTAGATTGCTTGCTTGCAAATATAAGAAGAAATATTGTGGGGAAATGACTCCTTTTAGAGGATTACCTTTTTTTTTTAATTTTGGTTTTCGTAATCTAGGCCTTGCCTGTAAAGAACAAAAGATGGTTTTTAAATACTGTTTGTGGAATGTGTTTAAAGGATTGATTCTAGAACCTTTGTATATTTGATAGTATTTCTAACTTTCATTTCTTTACTGTTTGCAGTTAATGTTCATGTTCTGCTATGCAATCATTTATATGCACGTTTCTTTAATTTTTTTAGATTTTCCTGGATGTATAGTTTAAACAGCAAAAAGTCTATTTAAAACTGTAGCAGTAGTTTGCAGTTCTAGCAAAAAGGAAAGTTGTGGGGTTAAACTTTGTATTTTCTTTCTTATAGAAGCTTCTAAAAAGGTATTTTTATATGTTCTTTTTAACAAATATTGTGTACAACCTTTAAAAACATCAATGTTTGGATCAAAACAAGACCCAGCTTATTTTCTGCTTGCTGTAAATTAAGCAAACATGCTATAATAAAAACAAAATGAAGGAAATAATGATTAACTGGAATTATTATAGTTTTGAATATGATTCTAAAAAATAATTGCAACAATCCTTTGTAGATTTAGCAATATTTTTAATCAGTGTTGCATTAGGCACAACTAACTACGGAAATAATAAAAATTGTCAGAAGGATGCATCTTAAATAGCACTTAAAATACCTTATAATGTCAAGACTGTTTCGTGAATACTTATTCAACCCTCTGGGTTAAGTAACAATAGGTAATTGATAGTATTACAATATGTATTAAAGTGAAATTTGGGTCAGCCAATTGTTAAGTTTTTATTTTCATTATTGGATGGACCAATATATCTGCTCTTTCCTGTCCTAAACAAAATATTTTGGGCCTTATGTTTATGGCACTATTTAAAATACTTTTGCCGTGAATGTTGGTGAGCAGTTATACTAATACTAAGAAATAACCACTTTGGGGAACTGGTCTAGTTGTTTCGTGGTATCTAGCTACTATATAATAACAATTACAGCTGATAATTATTGAGTATTTATAATGTGCCAGACACTGTTCTAAAGCTTTATGTGTTAATGAATTTTCTTTTCACAAAACCCTATGAGATACTTTTATCTTCCCCATATCACAGACAAAGAAACTAAGACACTAAGAGAAGGCTATAGAGCATGGTTGGTCCTTAAATGATTTTTTTTAATGTGTAATTTGAGAAACGTGTTGAAGATAATCCATTGAGATTGTTTTTAGTCTGTTTAGAAATAGCAGACCTGATGTTTTCTTCGTTTTATACTTTGTGCCTCTTATTTGGAGATTCAGTTACTTTGAGATGGTTTTTATATTTTATTTGAAGTGACATAGCTTCAAAGGGGTTGTTTTAAGTTTAACCCATGTAAATTCCTATTGATACTTGTTGAGGATGATTACACCATGCTTTGATTTCAAGTTATACAGTTGAGTTCCATCATCATTGAGTATCTACTGTGTGTCTGGCACTGTGCTCAATATTAGTGTAGATAATATCAAGACTGAGTGAGGGCTGACACTTTGTCTCTATTTTTTACTTAAGATCTCTCTGCATTTTTTTTTAAGCCAAGTAAGCAAGAAGAAAAATGACAGATAATGCTTCAGTGAGAAAGGAAAGGTGCTACATAGAGTATGAGCTGTTAAGTTACAACCCAGGGGAAAAGACCTGGGAACTATTGTACTATTCTCTTGAAAATTTGGCCCAGTAAGCTGCTACATCCAGTTCAACTAACAAAATCCTGTATACCACAGAGAAGAATAAAGAAAATCAAACTGACAAACATCCTTCTTTTATTTAAGACCAAACTGCAGCTGGAATACCCAGTACAGTTCTGCTTACTACACTTCAAGAAAGATCTGAGAAAGCGGAAAAAGAACCAAAGAAGGGCAGTTCAAGCGACCAAAGGGTGGGTGGAAGGTGCTGCAGTATGAATACTGTGCGAATATTTTGACTCTGGTCTGAAAAGATAAAAGAATGTTATCGAAACTACATGGAATAATTGAAGTCCCTTCAAGTTTGAAAGTAAGCATTTTAGGACAAGTAAAAGGAAATTCAGCTTTGTACTTGTGGAAACTAATCCCTAAATCTGAATAGGTTTATACTGATTCATGGGTATCAAGTCCATTATTCATAATTGGAAACTAGGATGTCTGAATACAAAGGAAGACAGCCATAGTCTGTTACGGTGCCTCTATTGGTCTGTCTCAAACTAAATTGGGTGAGAAAAGGTATGGTCCAATATAAATTTTTTTCTTGATATTCCTTTATACCAGTTGCATTTTCTCCATTGGCAAATCTTGCCTTTGTTTATTCCAGTGCCAGTGTTTTCTGTTTAATGGTTTGCTTTGTTGGCATCTGAGTTTACTTATATGCCACAAGCGGTTTACATATTTCTTAAACTAAACTTTCCCAAGTAAATTCAACTTGACATTCAGCTAAGAGGGTTTGTCGGTCCATCTCTTCTCACCACTTTTACTAGTCAGTATATTCAGCTAACATTTACTGAGCCCTGAACTGGGCAAAATTGAACTGAGTAATTGGGAATAAAAAGAGATAAAATAAAATTTTTCAGTGAATGTCTACTGAGCACAGTCTAGTGAACCATTACACTATGGCCTCATTGTTTTATTTGAGGTGTATTATTTGTAACTATTTTACACCATTTATATCATAATGTAAATTATAAAACCCAGTATACTATCAAAGTAATCTTGTGGTTATCTACCATTTAAAAATATCCAGTATTTGTTTGCATCCCATTAATACAGATAATGAAAAAATGATTTGTTTTAATCTGTAATAGATTGGTTTATTGTGCAGTGACTGTAATATACTAGAATTATATTAAGTTGTTAACTCTGCCTCCTCAAACACATTAGGAATTAATCCCCAAAATTAAAATTTAACTTTGCGTTAGATATAAAGGAGACTCTGGGTGCTATAATTAGATTATTTGAGGCAGACAGCTGTTATCCCAACTGATTTAGCGTGTTCTGTAATTGAGAAAATGTTCACCAAATTATACTTCTAGTGATTTACATGTACATTTTATAGGGGACATGTTCTGTGTATAGTGAATAAATACTTTTCATAGTATCACAAAATGTTTTGATTCCTTAGTTCCTTATTAGGATATGAAGCTTGTTTCTTGATTCCATCATTCACATACTTGATTTTTGTCATTTCTGCCAATACTTAAAACTTTTACCTGTAAAGTTCCGAAAATTACAGTGTCAGCAGTAGAGCATTTGCCCTGCATGTGTGAGGCCTTGGGTTTGATCCCTAGCACCACAAAAATAAATAAATAAATAAATGGAAGTGTTTTAAGACTTTAATTTATAAAGATTTTGAAAATAGAGCAGACTGCATATTACTAAGGGAGATAAGAAGGGGGGGGTAGTTGCACCTGTTTTGATGAGAATTCTCAAGCCAGCCCAGAATCACATCAAATGAGGATTTGTAGAGTCAGTAGTTTTTCACTATATTGTTACTGTTGGCTTTTTTTTTTATGTTTGTTGGGAAACTTTGAAATCTAGAGTTCACTTAAAAAGGTTTAATCAATTTAATTGCAAGAGGCATTTTGACTAATTTCTGAATAAGGTTAATTGGTACGTCACCAATTTTTGTGAACCAAACTCGTCTGTCCGTCCCCCACCCCACCCCCACCCGATTGCAGAATTACTTTTAACCATATTCCTTTTTACAAAATTCTGAGGTTGTGACCTGAGAGCACTACTAGCTCTAATGGGTCTTTTCCTCTACCTCCAATGTTGGTTGTGAGCATGACATTATATTTTTTTGTCGTAACAATAGACTTAATGTGGAACTTAAAATAGGACATGTTCAAAGTAGCTTGAAAATGAAAGGCTTTGTCTTTTGGAGGTGGGGGTAAATCACACTCTAAATGTTAGAGTAAGATTTAAAAAACTGGTCTACAAGCCAATTCTTTTTGTAGCTTTTGCCTCAAAATGTATAACTAGGCATTCATTTCTGTAAGAGATTTCAGAGGCGGACACTCACTCTTGTTTTTCATAGTAATTGCCAATGAGAATATAATTAAAATCTAGGAAACTTTCTAAGTTATGCTTTTTTCGCCATCTGCTTGCTTTGGGGAAGAATAGAGTAATGCAACTTAATGATGGGTTGGTTATGATTTATAATTCCATCATATAAAATATACTGATCAATAAGATAGGTAAATTTTACACCAACGTAAGGCTTACTATGGCTGACTTCAACCCTTACAGGATAGGTTCTCAATAGTTTGGTTCTCACAAGTACAATAAATTGGGAAATTTCTATCACAATACTTTGTGTAGGCTATCATTTTTAGTGCCCTTCTAGGTGTGAGGTGGTGTTGAATGAATCATCTTATATACATGCTATTTAAATATTTAGAACATTCCAGTTAATAATTTTAAGTCCCTGGGCCAGAGATTAAGTTCCAGTACAGAAATAAGGTGTTTGCCTTGTGTACAGTTCATCCCTGGCATTACATGGTCCCCCAAGAACCACCTGAAGTAAATATCCTGAGTGCAGAGCCAGTTGTGGCCAAACTCAAAAAAAAGAACTTGAAGTTGCCTGGGAGGATTTTGATTATGTTTTTATTTTACCTGAGTGCAGCCATTCTGAAAATAAGATATATTAACATAACTTATTACAGTATATCGTATCAGTTTGACTTACTGCGCCTACTTTATCAGGTATTACCTCTATAAGGACAAAATGGTATGTTATACATAGAATTTAGTACTATTTATAGTTTTAGGCATCTTGCTATGTTAAAACCTGTCTGCAGAAAAAGAAACCCATTTTAGTCAAATTTATCTAGTACAGAAAAGATCTTGGTGTTTGTTGGCATTCTAGAAATAAGGACCCCCAAAAAACCTCATAGTCATGCATTTGAGTTCCAGAGTCCCATCTGTGTTTCTCCAACTGTTCGAAAACATTCTTGGTTCTCATCTTTTTTCCTTTTCGTTTTGTGTGTCATACCTGGAGATACTCGGGGGTTATTCTTGGTGGTGCTTGGGGGACCATATAGGATGCTGGGGATCAAATACGTTACCTTCTATCACTCTCGCCCCATGTAAACCAAATAAATATTTAAACACTAGGTTTACCTTTTGAGCTAATTTTTCATTTTGGGGGCCACACCCAGCTGTGCTCAAAGCCTACTCCTGGGTTGGAGACCACGTGGGGTCCTGGGGATTACATCTGTACCAGCCGAGTACCTAATCATCCCAGCCCCTTTTATAAACATTTTTCCAAAAGCAGTGTGAAAAGGGCTTTACTGAGTTATTTCAAGTGAGAAGTTTGGGGAACTTCATACTGTACTATGGTCTTTTACTGTTGCCCAGCTGGGAGGAAGTGGTCACAGGTTGGTTGCTTATTAGCGTAGCTGTTCAAGTCAGTCCAGGTTATCTTTATCTACAATGTGGTTGGGGGGGGAGGGGGTGGCTCCTACAGCCCCAGCAGTGCTCAGGGCTTTCCTTGATCTGTGTTCAAGGGACAAACCCAGGTCAGTGGAATGTCAGTACAAACTGCTGTACTGTACGTATGGCCCCTACAACTGGTCACTGTAAAACCAACTGAATCAAAATAACAGCAGGCCCATTGGGAAGAAAAAGCAATTTTATTTCATGTTTCAAATTACTTTATATTAAGTACTTTGTTTTTAGAATATCATTTGGGTTATTATCAGAATTTAGAAAACTAGCATTCTGCTTAAAAATATCAAAAAAGCAGCCAAATTATAAACAGATGCGTACAACTCAAAATATTTTATTTTTGGCCCCATACACTTTAAAATTTTACTATTGGGTTAATTAGGATTTATAGTAAGACATGTTATAAAGGTTAACAATATGCATAAGATTACATATTTTGCACTAGTGGCCCTCTGGGTTGCATGTTTAACTGATGAAAAAGAAATATGGTATATTACTATAGTCAGGTTACAAAATTAGTGAAAGCCAAGATGCTATCTACAGCTAAAGGAACCCTGTAGTTACTCTTTGGGTTTATGAAAGTTTCATACTGCACTTCACATCTCCTTAAAAAAAAAGAAGTGTCTTAGCAGCTTAAAAGGTTTTCAGTTATATAAAATTTTTATACTAGGAACTTTGAAATAGTTTACAACCAGACCAATTTACATACACGGAAACTTTTATCACAGGGCAAACTTTAAAAACAACTGGCCTTTAAAATTAAGCCATAGCATTTAAGAGTTCATGGTCACTTTACATTCAACAATTTCATATTAAAATATTCTATCTTGTAGGTTAAATGCCCCCCAAAAAACCCTTTACATATGCTACAAGTTTATCACATATTTACATGGCTCTTTCCTAGTTGTTTTAATTTTCACATTACATAGTGTCCCCCCCTTTAAGCAAGCTATTCCAGGAATGATTTGAGGTCAGATCACTGAGAATCGCTTGTGCAGTGCTATAATACAAAAACGTATTTCAAAAGCTACTCAGTGATTACCAAATACTGTTTATAGTCTATAAAGAATGGTTTTGGTGCTGTTGGCAAGCACCCACCAATTCCACTCCAAGAAGCAGGCTCATCGGAGTATAGTCTAAATAGCTTCTAGTGCACTCTTTTCATACTTGCTACCATAGTTTACTAAAATACAGCTATTCTCAGGAAAAATTCACATTTTCTTTCAGCAGTGCATCAGGTTATTGGCTTGTAACTGGTCTGGGTATGACTAAAATATTAAGCTTTGAGAATAAGCTAATTTTCAGTCCCTTAAGTCTTAGTAGACCAACTACATCTCCTGGTTCATAAATGAGTCTTAGGTTTATTTCTCCACCAAAAATAGAAAAAATTTATTCTTTCACCATTTTGCAAACATAAATGGCTTACGTTATTCAATTGAAAATACTTAATACAAAATACAATTATTAGTATTTTAAATGGCACTGTTACATTACCACAGTGCGCAAGACGTTATTTTCTATGTTAATTTGCAAATTAATTTCCTAGTGAATGTTTTAAACCAACTCACCCTTAAATATATAACTAACATTGAACATTAGTACTATTATACCTGTACTTTAAGTAAGGTTTTAAGTTGAAATGTCATTATTTCCTTATCAGAAGGATTAAGGGAAACAGGAACCCAGTGGCTTGGTGGTTTAGGAAGAACGCTTGGTGATGGTGGTTCACTAAATTTGGCTCCAGCATAGTTCTGACTAGTTTGAGACTTAAAAAGTAAGGTGGGACTTGATAAGCCAGAGTTCCAATTCTGATTATTTGAAAAGTTTTTGTTCTTCCCCCCATTTTGCATGGCCTGCCATGCAGCTGCTGATGCGTTGTAAGTATGTCCTCTTTCCTTTTTCTTATGAACAATCTTCATCTGGGAATTCTGATCCTTGGTCTTCTGTCTATTGAGCTGTTGTTGGTTCTTACTAACGTTTCTAGGTTGAGGGCCTGGAATGTTATACCTCTCTCCACCACCCATCTTCAGTTTGTCACCTACAAGTGAATGGAAACAAAAGTGGTCAGTATAACTACAGTAAAAGTTAATGAAACTGTTAAGATGCTTGAAGAGTCCCAACTTACAACTCCAGAAACCAAAATGTGCGTGCTATGCAGCTGCTATAGCCAGATTTTAAGGGCCAGCCTTTATTACCCGTTCTAAAACAATACAAGCTTATCACGAAAACGCCAATCATAGGGTTATTACTTTAGAAAGCATCCAAAGTCTACTCCATTTTGCTGTAAAAGTTTTATACCTTTCAGTCTGCTTCTCGGATTGCAGGGTCTCCACTACCTGTCCTCTTCCTTGTTGCCAAGCCCAGGATAATAGGTGTTGCTTTCTCACGGCTCCTTTCCTTTGTCTCAATACATTAGTTTTCATGGGCCGATCTGCCGAGTTCAGCCTAGGAGCTGAGGCCAACATCTGAGTCTCCTCAGCACACAAGTTGGAGAGAAGTCCTGGCTGGAAAAGCAGAGGTGAACGTCCGTTTTTTCCCTTTTGAAAACCCATGAGAAAAGGCCGTCCACCTCTAGCGAGTTCACGCCGCAGAACAGCTTACTTCCGGAGCTGGAGCACGGGGGTGCTTAAACTTCTCTGTCTGACCTCAGAACTCGCAGCGGGGGGTCGGGGGGTAGGGGTGGGAACTGAGGAGCTCCGTAAGTGCCGGCACCCCGCGCGCACGCCCCGAAATGCTGTCGATCCGGGTTTTTGAGCCTTTACGGCCATCCCATCCCAGCTCCGGTCCCATCCCCACTTCCCAGCCTGGGCCGATACCCCGCGCGCGGCTCCCCGCAGCCGCCGCCCAGGGCCACGTCACGCGCTTCCTCCGCGGGCGGCAGGCCCGACGCCCGCCCAAGTTCCGACCCCACTTGCCACCCGCCGTCGGGGTCTCCCGCCCGGGGGTCGCACCCGACACGAGAGCGCCGCTCCCGGGCGCGCACTGCCGCCCGTCCTCTCGGACAAGTTCCGAGTCCGACAAACCAAGCGATACAACAACTAAGCCCCCCACCCCGGGTCGCGGCGCCAAGGCACGACGACGCGAGCCCGGGGAGCCGGGGGTCCTTCCGACGGGGCCGGGCCGGAGCGCTCGGGGTCCGCGGGCCGCCCGCCCCGCTCCGCTCCGCTCCTCCGCCGCCAACAATGGGGGCCGCGGCTGCCAACATGGCCGCGCCCGCCGCGCCGCCGCCACTCACCGACTTCAAGCTCGGGCCCGCGGCGACTCCTGCTCGGCGTCGACGCCCCCCTCCCCTCCCCGGGAGAGACGAGGCACGGAATGGACGGACGCCACGAACGCCGATGATCCAGCTGCTGACCACCTTAGCTCCACCGACCGACCTCCACCTCCTCCTCCTCCTCCTCCACCTCCTCCTCCTCCTCCTTCTGCCTCTACCGACAAAATGGAGGCGGAGGCGAGAGCACAAGCCGGGCCGGAGGCGCAGAGGCCAATCAGAACAGACCGGCGCGGGGCCCGGCCAATGGCGCGCGAGCCACCGCCTGTTGCTGGGGCCGGCGGGGCCGAGAGGGAGGGAGGCGGGGGTTACCGAGGGTTTGAAATCATCCCCCAGAGGAGCATGTCGGGAGCAGCTACCGACCGGGCCCCGGCGGCCTCCGCCCGGCTGGCCAGAGACTTTCCTGGAAGGTCCTGCCCAGCGGCTCCCGGCTCGCCCGGTTGCCGAGAACGCGGCCTCTCCTCCCAGGCCCCGGACATCAGCACCGGCCAGTCGCGCGCCCCCGCTGTGCGCGGGTCGGGGCTGCGTCCTCCTGCCTGGGAGCCGCCGCCACCAGACACTCCCGCCTGCCCGACCCCTAGAACCCGGGCAGCGCCCCTGGGCACAGACCCGCCCTGGCTCCTGGGTCGCCGAGTTCAGGGCACAGAGCCCGGGCTAGGGCTTCTCCCCGGGTGAAAGACGGTCAACAAAGTTGCTCTAGGAAGCCCGACCCCTGCCGACTCGGCTCATCCTACGCTGTGTAGAGAACTTTGTAGTAGTCTGGGGCTCCTTCCCGACCTGGCCGGTCCTCTCCAGGTCTCCCCTAACCTTCAGGGAGTCTTTTAGCTCCCACGCACCCATACTCAGGCGCACACGCACACTTGGCCATCAAGGGGCCAAGTCAGGTTTGAGTATTTTCTTCTGAAACCCAGAATCACACCTGGAAGACACACCCGGATGTGGGGGTGGGGGTGGGAGAGGGTGCCCTTACTTCCTTTTCTGCCCACTTTGTGATAGGGAGAAGAGTGAAGAAAAAAGAAAAGAGCAGCTTTTCTTTTTTTTTTTTTTTTTTGGAAAAAAGGGTTGAACAACTCCAAGGGTTACTGAAAGAGAACACCAGGAAATTTCTGAGTTACAGAATTTGCCTTCAGGGGACCATTCCCCATTATTCACTACCAACAAGCTGATGGTTCAAGGTGAGGGCCCAAGGATGAGGTACTACTTGAGCCCAGTGGTGCTGGGGACCACCTAGGCCACCCCGAAGTGCCTGGAGCCTCAGCTATGCTGGGGAACGGGGCTTGTGCGCATCAAACTGGAGATCACATGTGTCCTAGCCCCTATACTATGTCTCCAGTCCTAATAATTTGTTTCTAAATCATTTTTTTAACTCGTTTGCTTGTTTGTGGGGTTTTTTTTGGGGGGGGTGGGAGCCACACCCTATAGTGTTCAGTGACTCCTGACTGCACTCACATTAATCCTGGCTGTGCTGGGGACCATATGGAGTGTCAGGGATTGAACCCAGGTGGGCTGCATGCAAAACAAGCGCCTCCCCGCTGTTCTGTCACTCCAGCCCCTGAATATTTTTGTAAACCATTATGCCCGTCCCCTGGTTCTACCAACCTTAAGTTTTCTTTTAAAAATTTAAACTCCTGCGTTTTGAAAGAGGAATCTTTTAATCAAATTAATGTGGTAAAAAAAAAGTTAAATTTAAAAGTAAATAAAAACGTAAAATGTGTAGAAGAAATATTTTTTAACGTAAAGCTTTCTGGTGCTCACACTCTATATTATGATGTTCAAGGTAAACAATTGTTAGCATAAGCTATTTCCTAAAAATTTAAGAAGCTTGATCTGGGTTGTTACTTGTGGGGGGATGTGTTGGGGGGTGAGAAACGGGGGTGAAGAGAAAGAGAGATGTGGAGGCCACTTCTAATAGTGCTGGGGGTGAGGGGATCATTTGATTCTAGGGATCAGAAACCAGGGTCTTGCACATGTAAGGCATGTTCTTGGCCACTATGCTACATCCCAGGCCTCTATGTTATTTAAAAACAAAAACAAAAAAATACAAACCACTTCTGAGAGGCCCAGGGAAATAGCTCAAAGACTGAGTATGTGTTTTACATGCAGGAGGCCAAGTTCAACCCCCAACACTTCATGAGCCACCAAACACCACTGGGAGCCAGGCTCAGTTCCACTAGTGGCATGTGACTCAAAAATAAACAAGCAAGCAAAAGGCTGAACGCCATGCACTAGGATTCCAAAGCCCAGCTTCTAAGCTTCCTAAAGCACCTGCATCTGAGTCACCTCTGGTGCCTCCCTAGGGTTTGAAAGGTGCTTTCCCAGAAAAGACACGCTTCAGATTGGGCCAGTGGACAATGTAAAGGCTTCATCCTACTGTCTAGTTGAGCCAAGTTCTTAGGAGAGTCAGGGTGCCCTGAGGATAGCACTATGAAAGTGTTAACCACGTCACAGACTGCCAGGAGCCTCATGGTGTATCTCCAGCCTTATTTTGTCACTTTTTCCCCAGTGCTTACAACAACTCATACCTTGAACAACAAAAGCATGACTCCTCAGGACATCTGGTACAACCTCTGCCTATTCTCTGATTAAAGTCAGTTCCACCAACACAGCTCAGGTCTCAGTTCTCAGTTTAAATAGAAAAATATCCAGGCAAACAAGCAGCCCTTAGGATGTAACTCAGCCACCAATGCTGGGAGACCCATGTACAGTAAACAAATATAACACCAAACATTTATCTAACAAAAATTTACCTAATGCTCTCTTTGAGACAGGCACTCTGCCAAGCTCTAGATTACAACAATGAATGAAAATCCATTTCAGCCCTGAAGGAACTCAAAAGTTTTCATTATTTTTATCCAGAAAAAGCAGGTGCCTAGGGACATTTCTTTAGGTTGTTGGTATGGTTTTTGGTCTTTTTGTTTGTTTGTGGGCCACACATGGTGTGCTCAGGGGTTACTCCTGGCTCTGCACTCCGGGATCACTCTTGGTGGGCTCAGAGGACCATATGTAATGCCCAGGATCAAACTTAGGTTGGCTGCATGCAAAGCAAGTGCCCTGTACTATCTCTTCGGCCCGGGCTTTTCTTTTAGAGAGATCTTGATCACTTGACATCCCGTTACTCATCGATTTGCTCGAGCGGGCGCCAGTAACGTCACCATCTGTCCCTGTTGCATACTAGTGTAGCCCAGTGGCGTCTGCTCGTTCTAGGAACACAAAGAGCCTCAAACTGATCATTCAGGGTCTTGACAGAGAAGTCTGACCATCTTGTAGGTGGGCGGCCACACAGTCTTTTGACGTCCCAGGGAATTCAGTTGGTAACGGCTCTAGTCCAGTGGTTGGCTCCAAATCTCATTATGTGTCCAGCCCATCTGATTTTCAACGCCTTGGCAAATGAGACAGCATCCCTGATTCTTGACCGACGATGGAGGTCGGAACTCCGGATTGCTTTCTCTCATTTGAGTGAAGCGTGATACTCCAAGCATAGCTCTTCCTTTTTTTTTTTTATTTTGTTTTTTTGGCTTTTTGGGTCATACCCGTCGATGCACAGGGGTTACTCCTGGCTCATGCACTCAGGAATTACTCCTGGCGGTGCTTGGGGGCCATATGGTACACTGGGAATCCAACTTGGGTCAGCAGCATTCAAGGCAAATGCCCCACCCGCTGTGCTATTGCTCTAGCCCCACCCCACCCCCAAGCATAGTTCTTTTGATTCCTCTTTGGGAAACCCTAATAGCGTTCTCATCCTGTTTTCATAGGACCCAGGCCTCTGAGGCGTATGTTAATACAGGAAGAACAGTGGAATCGAAGAGATGTGCCTGGAGTCAGAGTTTCTTCATCCTCTTAGCTATTTAGAGAGATACATCCTTGAAACCTGTCCTAAGAGTAAAGTGGAAGACCGGCTTGATGCGCTGATGTGATCTGATGTTCAGGGCTCTGATCTTGTTGCCAGACCAGCATCCAGGCACACACACTTCCACACACCTTGAAACCTATTTTCAGACAATGCATCTGCTTTGTTCTCAGCTATTTACATACTCTTGGGCAATTGCGAATCTATTCTCAGCATGACACTCATTTTAATCTCATTACTAAATGAAGCAAAGAAAGTCAAAGCTAATCCCCAGGTTCCCTTTTACTCTGGCCTGGGGATTCTCAGGCCTGAATTCCTCTGCTAAGAATCAGCAAATTTGATGATGGGTGCTTGGGTGTTCCAATGACAACTAAAAAAATTGTACTACAAAACATGTTGTTTGGCATGGAGTTATTTTGAAATAGCACAATTTTTTCAAGTGCATTATTTCAAAATAACCCCATGCTAAACAACATGTTTTGGAGTACACACACACACACACACACACACACACACACACACACACTTTGTCTTTCTTGTCTGAAAGCAAGAAATAAAAGTCCTATGTGAAAAATGTTCATCCTGAACCAGGAGAAAATAAATTATTCTCATCAAAGTTGGACCATCAAAGCAAAAAGAAATCTATACGGAAGCAGGAAAGATAGTAAAGCAGCGAGGGCATTTGCACGCGGTCAATCTGAGTTCAATCTCCTGCACCACATATGGCAAAAATAATAAAACCAAATAAAGTAAAAAGTGGCATTGAAGTGATAGTACAACAGAAAGGGCACTTACCTTCCATGGTAATCGATAGCCAGATGTGATTTTTCACAACACCACAAGAAACAAGGAAGATAAAGGGTAGGAAGAAAGGTCTGCAGTGGCGTTTGGTGGCCGGGAGCCGCTTTCCCAGGCTCTTCCGGACAACAGGCGAAGGACGAAGGACGGGTGACGTAGACTCTCTTGGTGTCTTCTCTATTTCCAAGTCTTTGTCTTCCCCTTCAGTCTCCTGCCTCTATCTTCCTCAGTCTCTATCTTTCTCTGTCTCACTCTGTCTCCTGGTCTCTAGTCTGCTGCCGTTGTCTTCCTTTTATCTGTCGTCTTTCTCCTTTTAGTCTCTTGCTGCTCTCTTCCTCTGCTGTTTTCTTCTTCTCCCCCTGTCTTTCTTTAGTCTCTATCCTCCTCTGCGTTGTCTTCTCCTTCTCCTCGGCCGCTATCTTCCACCCCCAGCCCCTTACGCCACAGTTATATAGGAATCATGTAGGGTGG